CACCTTGCTGAGAGTCGACGCAGGTGAAGTCCCACGGGAATGCCTCCACCCATCATTACAGCTTAATCAACGGAGAAGAATCTTGTAGGTGCAAGAAACTACTGCCTGCCTACGAAGGGCCGGGCGATGCCCGTTTTGCCCGGCTCTGTGCCCAGCGTGGCGGGTTCCTGGCTCGCCCGGCGGAGCGGCCGGCGCGGTGCCGGTAGATGGCACTCGGGAATGTCAAACATCGTCACGGGGGGCTCTGCCGGCCCGGCCGTGCGTGGCAAATGGCCTCCGCTGGCAGCCCCTCGCAGCTGAGTCAGAGCCAAGGGGCCTGGAGAAAGTGGAGTGAGGGCTAAGGGCTCCACAGGGCAAAAATACCCCCCGGCACCAGCCGGTGCGTGCGTTGGAGAAGATACAACATATGCTTACCTAGTGTAACCAACCTGTTTTAGAGGTTCATTCAAAAGCAGTAGGACGGATCTATCATATAACACTTGTTGACACTTGTTGGGAGGTGGGACTGGTCTTACCCGTTCCTTACAGCCCTTGTATGAGCTGCTCAAAGCACGGCAGGCCTCCTCCGGCTCTTCTGACCTACGTGAGGACAGCCAAAATCCATCCCTTCAGCTTGTAAACTCAGGGTTAAGTAAGGCGAAGGTTTATAGTTAAATAGGAATGTCTGTTGATCCCTATCACAAATGTAAGCTGGGGGTTTTGTTCCTAATAATATTGTTCCTAATAAAGCACAAGCTTTATTGCTCTCCTACAAATTCACAAAAGGCAGTTTTCTTGCCCTCCGTCTTTGAAACACAAGTCTCGAGAGTTACGATGCAAAGAAGAGACTGTATGAAAGCAGCATGAGGCAGAACCCAGTTTAGAACAGAACTGATCAAAACTAATAATTTAGCTACATTCTGTTTTTTAAAAATGTTCTTTTCCACAAAAAGCAGTTGTATAATACATGAATGTTACACAATAAAAAACTTTAATGATAACCAAGAGTTCAACAGTCATTTCCTTAGAGATTTTGCTTATATTTCCATTAATAATATAAATTATAGATGTCCTAAATTATAAGTTTACATAGCACTTTTTCAGGGCATTCATGACTTATTTAATCTGAAACTGCATGCTTATGTTTTCCATAATGGCTATCAAATGCAATGTCAAGATTTTCATAAACTAACCTGCTTATAAAGGACTTATTTCACAACATATGGGTTATTTCTTCATCAAAGAATATGAGAATAATTGTTACCAAATGAAAACAGCAAGAAATATACGGTTGCTCTCAGTGTTATGCTAACTATGTTACCAGGTTTGAGCATAATCATTAATTGGAAAGTTATCGCTGGCCATGAAATACACAAGAACATTTAACTGCCTCCCACAGTGACCACGAAAACACAGAGAAAGATGGTTTAATTAGTAATCCCAGAGATACCAGGCAGTGCTCAAAAGCTAAAGAACTACCAGCATTATTGCTGTGAAGAAGGAGGGACTTGAAACCTTCCAACCAGTCTGTTCAGCCTTAGGCCTTTGCTGTCAATGATGATAGCAGTGATTATGACCTGAAATTACCAGATTATTTTATATAGGCCTTTGACAACCACGCTGCATCATCTAGGGAAAGGTCTGTTTCCTTTCTCTGTTTCAAATGCCTTATTTTGCTTCAGTGCCTATGCAGACTTCAGTCAGAAAATATTTCTCATTTACATGACCTAGATAGAATAATAGTGAGAAAGATGTTCCTTGATCTTTTTTCCTGTTGGTTTGCTATATTCAGCCTGGAAGAAAAACATAATTATGGGAATGCATTGTTTCTTTTATGTCGGTATTAGGAAGCAATGCAAGGTAGATTGGGGGATAGATCTAGGCAAAAGCCTTGCAATAAATGGACAGAAAAACACATGGAATAGCTTTAGGGATTACACAGGTTTGCTTATTTCTCAAAAAAGTTCCTTGTTTAGTGACTTTTCAAACTTGATTTTACTACAGTGACCTGTAGCTGACAATAAGTGTAAGCTAGGTAATTTAACTCTAGCACAGCTTATGTTTAGAACCATGTCAGTAATAAGGACGATAGCTCAGTGCAATCAGTGGCTTATTCCATGATTACTCATTTCAGAGTCATTACCTCAGCTGGCATACTGGACAACCTATATTAAAAAGTGCTGTGAACTGACCTGAACTGTGGTTACAGAAATAGTCTGAACGCATCTTGACTCCATTTGGCCTTAGCTATTGCTCAGTTGTATCCATTACTGTGGTCAGTCGCAGGTTCCTTTTCTGATCTAGACAAGGCTAGAAAAACTTCTGTGATATTCTCATATGACAGCATGTGAGAAATAAATCTTTCTTGAAATAACAGAGCAAGAAGCAGAGGAAATACCCAGGTACCATCTTCCACAGACTGCCATGATGGACATACCCATGAGATAAGTTAAAGGAACATTTGTCTGGGTTTAGAATGATTCGTGACAAACTATGGTGATGCGCGCCAATCTGTGCAACAGATAATGAAGCTGAATAAATCATCTGCTCAAGAGGGAGAGAAACAGAGTTACCGTTTTTAACAACTTTAAATATTTCATCCCAAGAAGTAGTATAAAAAGTAGATGGTTGTCCAAAAGGTTGTAGAATCCCAAAATACAGACAAACTGCGACTAGTAATAATAAAGAAAAACACAGGAGATTATCTAATAGTCAAGATCTTTCAGATAAACTATAGTTACTGCCTGAACTAGCACCACGGTGGTGAATAACAGTATGAATAAATGAAAATGCAAATGATCTTTGTGGTGAGGAGCCTCAGTAACAGGCCATGAAAAAGTTTTAAAAAGTTCTCATTCTGAAAATGGAAGTACTGATTCCAAAATGATAGTTTGGGGCTTCTTTTGTCATCCAAGGACAACTAAAATGAATGGAAGTATGCGCACTGACATTGAGGGGCTTTGAATTCAGGCTCCATCCTCATTCAAAAATATGTCAAAATATAAAAAAAAAAGTCTGCCCAGCCAAGCACGGGTAGGAAATGTGAGACAAAAGGACACTGACGGAACGTCTGTCAAATTACAGGAATTAGGGAAATAGTCCAAACAATCATGAATGAAGATTATTTCATGTAATTGTGTCCAAATAGTAAATTCATACACAACATAGCTTATCTCAAATTCTTCCATGCTTGCATTGAACTTAAAAGAATTTATGAGATGATCATTTTGTGAAAATAATTTTAAGAAAGCATAGCTTCAAAACAAACAGTTCGAACAGTTTCCAGTAGCTAACAGAAATATGTATTCTGAGTATCTCAATTCTAGTCCACTACTGCCTAAAAAGAGAAGTATTGTGTATTTGAAGTCTTTGTCATTATTATGTCCACTGTAAACAGCTATTTAGACAGAACTAAAGCTACTGAAAATGGTCTCACAAAACTCATAGAGGAAGCTGACATGCTGTTCAGCTGGAAACAGCCTTCTTGAAGGAGAATTGATGTGAATCCTTTTGTAAAGGAGGTCTGTGCTCTGAGCACTCAAAATACATCATAGAATACTAATCACAGTACTTCCCAAAGCAAAAGAAAAAATAAAAAAGGATAGAGTGCATCACTGAACTGAGAATGGTACATCTCTTCGGAGACATTTCGGGGGGGCGGGGGGAAGGATGCCTGTCTGCATCCTTATCTATATAGACTTAAGTAGAACCTTTTAGAAATACTCCATTTGTATTTTATGTTCCCCCATATGAGAAAGAAAGGACAGATCTCAGCCTGGATAAATTAACACAGCTCCGGTGGAGTGAGGGAGACATGGTAACAATATCATCTTCTTACCCTAACGTGCTGGTGGAACTTGGAGCAGTGCAGGAAGAAAAGGCACAGATGAAAGATTACTGAAAAGAAAGGTGGAACTGCTTTGCTCTGTCTTTTTTTTCTGGAATCTGAGTTTCTCCCCCTAAAATAAAATAGTGGGGCTGCATATCTCAGACAATGGATCAAACAAAAAACACACACCTCTTCAACCACATGATGCAGAATGTGTGCTGCATGAGGTGCCGAGAGTCACAAAAGGGTCCAAAAAGCGCTTTTTGGCACATCTCATAAAAATGTTTCACCTTCATCTTACGGAAGGCTAGTAAACTTCACTATTAGGAATATTTAAAACATTTTTTTCTCCCTAGCAAAAGGGAGAGGTTGACTAATGGTCCCTGTGCTTTGAATCAAAATACTTGCTATACTTGTCTATATTAAAGTGCTGTAGTAGTAAAAATTGACTCTTTGATGCTGTCATTCTTTCACTATAAAATGAGAAGCTCATAGGAGGAACTATATTGGCTCTGCATGTGGCCAGAAAAAAGAGTTTTCTTCCAACAGTTTTTTCTTGGGTAAGACTTTTCATACTCTGTTTGACATTCTGAATTACATGATTATACAGTGTAAGACTCCAGCAACATTTTGTATTGTAAAGATGGAGATGCTCAGCATTTTGCCAGATGCCAAGTGATATTCTGATATTTCTATCTTCTCTTTACACTGAGTGACAGTCAGCATATTCACAATGAAGCCAAGACAATCTGCTATCAAGTTACAGTAGTGATATTTTCCCCGATGAAGATCCCAGAGCTTGTTGGAATAAAGCTCCTTAAAACTCAGTGTCTGGAATAGCTCCAGCTTGAATTGCTCTCTGTGTAATATAATTTTATATTTGTGCCAGTCTAATAAGTAGATCACTGGGTAGAGGCTTTTGTGAGTAAGTCTATACGTACTGCACCATTTCCTGGCTCAGTGCTCCAGTGTGTTGCAGGCTGTGTGCAGTGGGGGAGGTGCCAGAGCTGATCAAGCAGTGTAATTTTATACATTACTGAATCAGTGCAGGGGAAACCTGGAGGGACAAAGCATCATCTTCTCTTTGGACTGCACTGTAAAATCCTACAGCTCTCTTAGCCCAGCCATGCTCTGATACATTTTTTTTCTCTGCTTTTTCTGATTTTGGTGTGAATGATAAAGTGATCTGATGATGGCTCTCGTTATGGAACCTATTAGCAAGTGGACGCCCAAGCAGGTAGTGGATTGGATGAAAGGTATGATCATTTATTACCGTGTATTTATTGTCTGTACTTTGAATCCTCGCAATTTACATATCTGCTCTTGTATTCTTTGTTTTGGGAAGAGTTTATTCAGTTTTAATAATCCGTGTGCTGCTTTGCACAGTAGTTTTTAAAGACACAACCGAGGAGAAAGGCTGTTTAAGCTGTGCAGCATGTTGTTGGAATTTCTGCTGAGAACTGAGTAGGGATCAAATGCATTTGTTGGTAAATGCAGACATAAAGTGTTTGTGTCTCGCGGCTCCATTATGCATTGCACAGTGTAATGTTATTATGTTTGGTTGCTTTAAATTTGCCCTGATTAGGTCTGTTTTGCTCATATCAGGTGATCTGATGCAGTGGCTGTGCAGCACTTGTGTGTAGTTTAGGGTACCACAAGGAGCATAAGGTGCCGGTGACTGGACTGAGGAATTCTGCTCCTTTAGTGACATGTCCTGATTTGTTCAGGCTTCCCAGCCGCTCTTGCTCGTGCCGCTGTCGTGTCTAACGCACCCGCGTCCCCTTCCGTCGCCGGTACCGTGGACAGTGCAGCCCATGCCGTGCGTGGGGCGCGCAGAGGGAACGCGCAGGGCTGAGCACGGCTTCGCTGGGGAAACTCTTCCCAATAACTTGACAGGAATGATGATTTCCCTGCACATTCGCAGTTTCACAACACAGCCATAAGCTGTGACATGTTTTGCCTTACAATGCTCGGCTGTGCTGCAAACAGATTGGGTTGGATGGGAGGGTGAAGAATTGTTTGTGATAAGAAGTGTTTAAAATTTCTCCAGAGTGGGGAAAAATGTATTTCCACAGTAGGATGCATTAGTGTTATTATACATTGCTTCTGATCAGCAGTCTGTCTTAGAGACAAATAATTTCTGCTACAAGGGATCTTCATTATATAAGGAGAAGAGGTGCAAATTTTGTTTGTATGTTACTCATGGAAATAATTTCTGTAACGTGATTACTGAACTTATTGGTGGGTTGAATTGGACGCCCACTATAATATCCTTAAAGCTTTCAAAGTATTATCATTAATAAGGGTTTTGATTTCATTTTGCTGAGATACGTCTCCATACTTAACTGAAATTGGGCTGTTCAGGTGCTCATCAGACACACCACAGTTATGAGCAAACTATTCTTTTGCAAGCACACAGTATTATGAAGCTAATGGTATCTAAGGGAATGTATGTAGTTTGTTTCTGAGGTGTTTGTGAACTCAGGTTAATTGGGAGGTCTTAAGCAGGTCGTTGGATGGATCCCGAAACCATTAGATACAGGATTGATTCCCATACTCCAATGTCATTACTTGAAAGCAATTCCTAACGTACATGCAGAGGAGAGTTTTCTGATCCACACCTTTATTTTCAGTATGTAAAAGATTTAAAAAGTGGACAGATCGTTATGCTATTTTAACTCATTACTTGAATTATAATGTAAATTAAATGTCAAAGTGTGTATAATACTTGTTGCTAAATTTAAAAATACTTCCTGCTACTTTTTTATCCTTTTTGATGTAAACTAATTACATCTTGGGTAACATTAATCCATAATGTGTAGTGCATACCATGGGAAGCAAGAAGGTCATACAAACAAAAGGGTTTTTAGTGTATGGAGTTGCCTGACAGTTAAATTTCTATACAAAGGCTGCATACTGCATCCGTAGGGACGTCTGGAATAGACAGTATTGTCAGTTGTGTGCCTCTGGGCTTAAGCATAAATAAGTATAATGCAACCAACATTGAAGTACTCACGAGATAGGTATCTTCCTTGGTAACGTGAGGGCTACAGATCCACAAACAGTAAAGTTGCACATTTGTCCATTTTTACCATGCTACTATTACAAGCCTGTTTTTTTATCCCGGAGTATACCTTTATAAATGCATACTTCAGCTGTAGCCAAAGAAAAGACCTAACATACACAAGTGGAAGCATAGCAGAATTAGTTTAAAACTACTTGTAAAGCCCTTACTTTACAAAAATTGCCCAATTGTGGCCACTGTTTACCTGTAATTTACTTATATTCTGTATGATGTCAGCTCCATTAGCTGTAGTCATTCTGCTAAATAGCTATGAATGCATTAGAGAGGTTGAAGGGCTGCATGGGTAGTAATATTCAAGTGATAAGGTAACTTTTATGTACGTCTTCTATACTGCAAGGTACACTTTGACAGCACTAAAAGATGTAGTAAAGACATTTTAGAAAAATTACCACGCTATGAATGTGGAATATTATCTTTGCTATAGAAAGCAACATGTTAATAAACAGTGTTACAAATATTGCAAGTGTAATATACCTTTTTTGGCTTAAAAATATGTAGTCAGTTGGCTTTATTTGTAAAAGTTGTAAATTATAACATTTCACAGGGAAATGATAGTAATATGTCTTTTTAACTTGAATTTATCACAATTATTTAAGCTATTGTAACTTACTTTTAAAAACTGTTAGTTTTGAAATTAACTAGCAGTAAGTACCAGCAACATCAAATAATTGAAGAGAAGATGGAAGAAAGCCACAAAAATAATGTTAATAGTCTGAGACCTGGCTACCCAGAATGCGTCCTGGTTACAGTGCTCTATTATCAGAAGCACCTGTAGCCTACGCCCCAACCAAGAGGAGGCACCCGTCTGTTCTTTTCCTTAAGGAAATGTCACTTGCCAAAAAAGTAAAAACTGGTAGGCTTTAAGGAACATTATTATGACAAGTTGGCATCCTGCATTTATCCACAGTTCCTTTCTCGGGAACGCATTCAACTGGAATTCAACTTGGGAACTGCATCTGATGGTGTGGACAACCTGAAAAGGCCATGCAAGTCTTTGTAAAATGATTCTTGAGGCTTACAGAGGATCTAGAAGTTAAGACTCTAGGCACCTTTGTGTTAAAGAAATTGTCTTTATACAAAAAAAATTTGTAAAGTTTAGCAAATACACAGCAGAAGGCACTGGGGTTAAAAAGAAAGTTTTCAAAGGAGCAGAAAAAATTAATTGTGAAGATATTTTTAACAACAGTTTTCAGTCGCTATTTTTTTTTTTCAAATTTTCCAAAATTTTAAATTTCTCTAAATGATTGTTACTTCAGAAAAGAGCAAGTATTTCTCCTGGTATGTACCCATTTCTTACATAACTTAACTTACATATGGAGGATATGTACTGTGGACCCAAAAGGTACTTTGAGAGAAAGAACTTTGCCTTGCTCAAATTCCATTGTGGCACTGTTGAAAAAAAAATATTACTCATCAAGCTTGCAAGTATGTTAAGAATCAGAGTAGTTTTCAAATTTGGTCAGTTTTTCCTTTGATTAATTTTAACATACTAATGTGAGCAAATGACAAACTACACTTCACTATTTCCATCTGTAATGCTTCTACCTGGAGACACTGAATGCTTTTTGGCCCAGGAACCCCTGCACTCACCGTGAAACTCGGTGACACTTTGCAGTTGCAAACCCATCGTCAGAGTGAGCACTCCTAAACCAAAGGCCATCTATTTTAATGCATGCGCTATGGAAGGTAATCCCGTACAGAATTTGGGGGGGTTGAGGGGGCAGAGGGGAGGTATGTCTTACTCCTGACTCTTATTTGCACTTAGAATTAATAAAAGCATGATAGTTGGTGTTTTCATTGTAAGTAGAATCTAAAAGATATTCTCTGTATTTTTACAAATAACAGCATTTAAGATTTTGTACTTCCTGAGTGAAGCAGTTTACAAGTAGGTCATTTAAAATGTGAACTCATTTACAGTGAAGTGACACCTCTGTCCAAATAAATACTAACTTTTCAAAACAATCCAATGAAATGAAATGAAATACAATGCAATGAAATACAGCTGTCACTTTCAGAGAATGGAATGTTATTAAACAGCTGAAAATTAAAATAGGAAGCCAGTTATTTCTTAAGTACCTGTAAGTAATAACTCCACATGAAGTCAGTTATTCAAAGTCTTGGGGACTGACAGTAAGGTTTGTCTGCCAAAACAGCCTGCAGTGGAGGTTTCTCTCATAATGAATGCTCAGCTTCAGACACTCATTTCGCAACTGCAACCCATTTTTCCCCCTTTAAATCTAGAATTTCTCCACTCTCAACAGGAGATGCAGACATGAAAAAATAAAAATTAATTCAGTTGGTAAACTGATTAACTGTGCTGCACTGATCCTGTGCAGAATAATTATATGTTTAGCTGAAGGGTTTTCCTTAGCATGTAATTCCCTGATTTCAAGCTGGCTCATAAAAGAGAAAGGAAGGGAGGGAGGAGGGAGCTGAGAGCAGGGAAGCTGATGACGTGAGTGGACTTGTTAGCATTCATATCACGCAGGGCTCCAGCAAACCCCTTCTCAGTCTTCTTTTGCCTTTCATTAGATCACTACCTGTTCTGTAGCAATATGTCGTAAGCAGGGAGTCTCCTCTATTTACAGAATGTAATATATAAAATCTTAGAGCGTACTGGAGACACAGCTAAATATTATGATCTACTGCAAAAGCAGCCTTATAGGTACTGAGCTGAATGATACTTTGCTTTCTTGATCCCCCTTCATGACCTTAGAATCCTATAATGCAAGAACTTGACTTCACCAGATACAATCTGAAACTTGAGTAGATAACCCAGGTCACATGTTATTTAGAAAAATGTAGGTTTTATAACATCTTTTCAGTTCTTTGTGAAGACAAATATGTTTGGAAGAGAACTGAGAGCCACCAGCAGACATGCCCTCAGATTTAATGTTGAATTTGCAAGCAGTTCTAAAGTAAAGGTTTCATCATTTTCCTTCTACTCTCACCAATTTCAAAACTGAAACAAAAAATTTACTGTTGTGGCTTCCCCTTGGATTACTGTGTTCCACTAGTACCACATTTCCTGTTATCGCTAGGAAGTCACTGAATCAGAATTGTCTGCAATTCCTCTCTGATTCCTCTTACAAGTTTCAGACTGTATTACTTTTTAGTAATAAATTTTGGCAACAACTACTCTGTTGAATGTTGTAAGTTGATTGCTTTAAA